TTTTGATTAGAGTGACCGATACTGTGACCTCCCAGAACATTGGCCTTTCCTCCTGGGACATTCTGTATAAGTGAGAAATCAATATTTCTTTACATTGCTTATGCCTACAGAAGCGACAATCTTTGCCAATGACTCTATCTTATTTAAACATCCGTAACATTGCCACTTTTACAAATCGTTGGTGAACAATATTAAACCGTCCGTCACTTCATCAGTGGAGTATCGCTCACTGTATTTCGTGGTACTGTTTGCTCATTAAGCATCCAATTTCTAACTCTGTGGTTATTTTCATTGGCGCTGCCCCCTTTATTAATTATCCTACCACTATCCTAACCTACGGGCTAGATGACAAGAAGGGTCGGAGTTCGAGTCCCGGTAGGGTCAAGAATTTTCTCTCCTCCATAGCGTCAAGACAGGCACTAGGATCCATCCAGGATCCTTTCCAATAGGTACCGGGGGCTCTTTCCCCTTGGGTAAAGCGGCCGGGGCGTGAAACTCACCGCTCACCTCAAACCAGTGCCCCTGTACTGTATATATGGCTACTCTCCATACCTGGAGGAAGTTTATTTTGATGAATTAGGCTCTTTGGCCTATTCCGATTCAAAACTAATTTTGAAATTGTGAACCTTACAGACAATTTGTAGGACTTCTTGGATGGCGGATGAGCGAGGAACCTAGCTATACAGGGCAACACAGAATGAAAGTAGGGAGACGTCCATGTTTCGAGTGGGAAAAACATTTGGAGCCTATGACCGCGCGGTCACTCTGATCGGCCGAATTTTCTTGTTGAGACAGGAAATATTAATATTCCTAAAGTATAGGAGAATCATACACCATTCTTCCACTGAGGTTAGAAATTTTATCTTGGAGCATGGCTTCTATTTTTGTGGTAGTCAATTTTCCTTCCACCGTGCATTTCAAAAGGAAGGGATCATGCAAAAAGAGAGAGAGAGAGAGAGAGGCGAAGTTCCTATTCCAGAACCTGATCGATGCTGTATTATCGCACGCATATCGACAAGCGAGTGATCGATGTACACTGAATGGCTCTATCAACAAATTCGCAAGACCGAGGGAACATGCACGCCTCATGGCTGTCCCTGGGCAGCAGGGCATACGTGTGCCCTAGCATAACCTCATACACTAAACACGGGACAGGGTGTCCCGAAAGTTTGCGAGACAATACTTGTTTGGCAGAAAAGTAAGGCATTTCTAATCAAATTCCAAATACAGTTCTCCGAACAAGAAACACCATAATCAGAGTCTAGCATCAAGAGTGCCTGAAGGCATGTGAGATTATCACACTGGGTGTCCCACATTTCAGTTTCTGTATATAAGTTGGCGAAAATTACACGAAACGTTATAACGAAAATTATGCCCATTTCATGCCATACCAACTATTTTTAAGCTACAAGCCGGAAAGTCGCGGGTTAGAGTCACGATGAGGAGGATTTTTTCAATTGACCTAATCCTTCGAGCCTCTAACAGAAATGAGTACCAAGAATCTTCCTGGGGATAAAGCGCGGCCGGCGCGTAAGGCTGACAATCTCGCCGCCATCTGTGAGCCGACTGTCTAGAAAATGTGAGAGCCTCTATGTCTCACAACCCTATGGGCATCCATGGCCTCTTACAGGGATAGCTTTACTTAACCCCACCGCAATCTGTGAGCCGATTTTCTGGAAAATATGGGAGCCTCGACGTCCCACAAACCTATGGGCCTCCTCGGCCTGTTACAGGGATAGCTTTACTTAACCCTACCTCAATCTGTGAGCCGATTGTCTGGAAAATATGGGAGCCTCTACGTCTCACAACCCTATGGGCCTCCACAGCCTGTTACAGGGATAGCTTTAATTAACCCCACCTCAATCTGTGAGCCGATTGTCTGGAAAATGTGGGAGCCTCGACGTCTCACAACCCTATGGGCCTCCTCGGCCTGTTACAGGGATAGCTTTACTTAACCCCACCTCAATCTGTGATCCGATTATCTGGAAAATATGGGAGCCTCTACGTCTCACAATCCTATGGGCCTCCACGGCCTGTTACAGGGAGAGCTTTAATTAACCCCACCTCAATCTGTGAGCCGATTGTCTGGAAAAATGTGGGAGCCTCGACGTCTCATAACCCTATGGGCCTCCACGGCCTGTTACTTAAGCTGTCTGACGGAAAATATGGAACCACCTACGTGCACGGCTCTGAAACACGTGCTATATTTAAAATGAAATGTTCCACAAAACTGGGCAGGTAAAGTCCATTTCTGACGTTTAAAAACAAGTATCCAGCCGACTCACAGCGGGGCTTATCACGTAAATGCCAGTGACTAATAATGATTTGCCGCCGTGGGGATTTGGCCAACAGTGCAATCTCCACAGAGCTACCCCTGCCTAATCCGGATACGGCCTCGATAATCCGGATTTTCCATAATCCTGGTATGGTCCTTAATCTCTATATAGCCCGGATAAACCTAGTGGTATAGTCATTTGTAGTTACGGCCTGTAGGAGTCAGTAAATCCAATTTCGAATCCAAAACTCGGTCGAAAGTTACTCATCACCAGGGCCCGGATTTTGATGACATGTCATCTTTTTTTCCTTGTATCCTATGCGATGCTCTGAAATATATAAATCTCGGATATGAGCTGCTGGTTACAGAAATGTAATTTTTATGGGTAATTTTTTGACATTTTTAGGTTTAAGGTCATTTTTTCACTTTGGGGGGTAATTTTTTGGTAAATTTTTGGACTTTTAAGGGTGTTTCTTGTCATTTTTGGCCATTTTGGGGAATTTTTCTTCATATGTTTTCTAAAATATGAATAACGCGGAAGCGAAATGTTCTTTCTTTTTTCCTTTAGGTCATTTTTCTGGATTTTTTCGGTCATTTTATAGGTCATTTTTTTTTAAATATTTTCAGGTCATCAAAATCCTGGCCCTGTATATTACATTTTTGGGTCATATTTTAGGTAATTCTTCTGGATTCTTCGGTCATTTTATAGGTCATTTTTTTTAATATTTTCATGACATCAGAATCCGGGCCCTGTTCATCACTCATTTATGTGGATGACAATATACGCAGTCAGTTAAAGCACAGGCCGCAGTCAATGGGTTTCGGTGAACATGTCTGTGTCCATTCAACAGGAATATTCTGGCCTGCGCGAGCGCCGCCTCTCAACCGCTTCCTGCTCCCACTAACCTCGTCTCCTGTGCCTCAACTACAATATGTTCCTCAAATTAAGTCGCTGCTGCATACACGACGTGGGGTCAGCTAAACTGCGAGACAGAACAGATTAGATGAGTCCGCCCTCACCTGAGGACGGAAACAGATCCAGTCTCCAAGACAAAAGAAAAATTGGTACGATACACTAACAGCTGCCAACCGTGGCATGGGGGGGGGGGGGGGACATGACANGTACATATCAAGCGAAAGAGAAGATAAACGTGGGTTCACGTGTCGTGACTGGCTCGACAGCTAGAGTGAGTCATACAACGTTTATCTGAAAATTCCAGTTTTCAGTTTGGACAAACTTGCTATCATTTTTGCGTGTTCTGATTTCAAAGAATTTTAATTTATTTTCTGTGTCCTGAAGTTCCATTGATTTCCCCCTTTTTATGAATTTTCACCTCTTTGTATTTCCATATTATTGCAATGAAAGTTGTTTGAAGATCCTTGAAAATTTTGTTCTGTAAATTCTGTGACTACATATATTATTTTTAAGGTAGTTTGTGTTTTTTTTTTTAAGGTTGTGGAAACTCTCGATAGCCCAGAACACAGAGTAAAATGGTAGAGCTATCGATGAAAAATTAATTGGAAAAAGATTTCGAGGAAGCGGATGTCGCCTAATTGAAGTACAACCCCCGATATTTTCCAGGACTCAGATAAACCACGGAAAGCCTCAGTCACTACAGTCAGTGGCTCGGCCGAGATGCGAAACGAGCAACTCACTAGTGTGAGTATAGAGCATGACTGCCAAGACAATCCGTTTCGTCACTGTGTCGTGAAAGCAGGTGGAACAAGCAGTCTATACTGTGCTTTGAAAGAGGCTGAGGAGACACAAGAACAAGAAACCTATAACTGATACTTCTGTGTCCTTTAATCGGTCTCTTTTTGCATGAAGTATAGGTAACATGGGGGGTTACGCACCAGTGCAGACGTACGTATGTTCTATTCCGTTTCGAGCTACAATTCAAATAATAAATGAATACATGGTGCACAGTTTACAGTTAATTTTTATTAATTCGTTTAGTGGGGTGTGGAGTCCAACTGGGTCCACTCGGCACGGCAGCCACTGATTGGTCTATTGTAGCCTGCCCCGGGTGATTATGATGATGGAGAATTTGGTGGAATGAAGATTGGCAGGCGAAACCGAAGTACTCGGAGAAACCCCGCCCCCAGGGCTACTTTGTCCACCACAAATCACACTTGACCACACCCGGGATCGAACCCGGGCCGCCGCGGTAGGAAGCCAGCGACTAACCGCTTGAGCTATGGCGCGGCCACAGTTTACAGTTGCTCAACTGGTTAAGTAGTTCCCTTCATTTCACGGAACCCTAAGCTTCATTACCGTGTTCACAAAAACCCGCCACTGGAGCCAGGTAAATCAGCCCACTCATCACCCTCCACTCTTTTACGATCCTTTTTAACATTATCTTTCCATCTCTAGACGCAGCAGACAATTTTTAGCTGTCCTGCATGCTACATTCCTCGCCTATCTCATTCTCCTTAACCAAGTCGTTAATAAGAATTTATGAAGAGAACAAGCAAGAAATAAAAGCAGGAGGACAGGTGTTCTGTCACAAGGACACTTTTAGGCTTGAAAGTAACGTCAAGGAAAACAAGGTAACTCATTTTCATAAATCATATGACTCAACTACGCGTATTTTCCTTGAAACTTTGTGACGTGGCTTGTACATTCAAGTGGCCATACCGTTCACTGTACTTTGTGATAGCCGTGTTGAAAAATGTTGGCATTATCAGCCTGGAAAGTAGCCCTGCTGTGCAGTCATTTACAGCGCCTTTAAACGGGGTCTAGTGAGGTCTTATAAGCGGCGCTCATCCTCACAGCAGCAGTTTCTTGACACGAGACTACGGAACCATTTCATGGCAACGAAAAAGTAATTAACACTTGTTAACTCATTCTTGTTTTCATACCGAAAACTTACTCTTATATTCTGTGAATGTACTGCTCTAAAAGGTGTCTAAAATATATTTGAAGAAACGTCTTCACCAGGTACTAAAGTGGGTCGCTACGTCATCATTTGATAATTACAAGATTTCTATTTTCAACAGCCAGCCTCGCCACACCTGACACCTCACAGAGCTCACGAGATTTTCCCTCTGTTGCGTGCTCAAGGTATGATGCAACCTGAGAGATGTTTTAGAAATACTGCAGTTAGTGTTCTGGGCACGCAGAGGCGGACGGGACAATTTCCGCTGATGTGCTTTTAATGTCAAAGCAGGCGGTATGCATAGCAACCACCGCGCTCTATAGGGTAATGTTCAGGTCGCCGACGATGCAACTGTAAATCTGGTTGCTGAAATCGTTCAGCCATTAAATGTTATGGATCCATAGAACAAAGCCGATCACAGTGACCGCGAGGTCTAACGCATGAACTGTCTTCGCTCGCTCGGACTCTGGGGTCGTGCTTTCGAATCCCACTCAAGGCAAGGATGTCTGTGTGTTTATTCTGTTTGTGCTGTCCTGTGTGTAGGTAGCGGTCTTGCGACGGGCTGATCCCCCGTCCAAGGGATCCTGCCGACTGTGTATAGGATTACGAAACTGAAAAAAAGCGGCCATGGACCAACAACGGGTTATAGAACCACTGATGAATGAATGAATGAATGAATGAATGAATGAATGAACTATAGAATAAAGTGATTTACATGCTCCTTTATTCCAGTATGAAGATGAACCTAGTTGCCGCCGTCTTTGTGGCGTTCGCCGTGACAGCGGGAATAGCAGCAGAAACACAGCCCTGCACCCTGAAGCAGGAAAATGCACAGGTAATTTCTACCCGCTCACTGCAAGGGATGTGACGTGTCTCTGCGCGTGCGGTGACTGCTCACTTCCGGTACATATATTCAAATGAGGACGGAAAACTAGAATTTGGACGTATAGGGTAAACGCACCAAACTTCGAGACAACCCTCATTATGTGGTAGAACACTCCAAAGTCGAAACGAAATTAATTTGATTTTAACAGCCCTGCATTTATAGAGCCAACTATGGAGAACTTTTCGAATTAAAGTTAGGAACGAATTTGTGGTCATGCCATAGTCACCGGCCGGGGTTTCTACCGCTGTGGATCGGATTCGAGTCAAGGCCAGGTAATGTGCGGTTCGTGTGGTGGACAATGTGGTACTTTGGCAAGTTTTCTCCGAGTACTTCGGTTTCTCCTGCCAATTATCATTCCATAGACTACACCACACTCGCTATCATCTATATTTCGGGGCTGGTACATCAGGCCAAACAGTGGCCGACGTACCAAGTAGACTCAGTCTCACCTCACCCCAAGAAAACTATTGAAGAATTTAGATTGTCGTTCCACCAAAGAAAGTTTGTCACAAAAATTGTTAGTTTATTTATTTAAATATGGTGTCAGTAGCTGAGATGCTGAGTAGCGTGAGCAAGAAAGTGTCATGGTGGTAAGATTTCGAGCTGTGTGGAAATTTTCCTGCGAGGACCGAATATTACGAAACACCTCGGTCAAGATAGATACAGAAACTTGAACCCGTGCATCTCAAGTACAAAGGACTGCTACCCACATGATTACGTAGGGGTGCGAATGACCTAAGGGATAAAAGCCTGAACTACTGACATAACGTCACATGACACACTGTATCATGTAAGCGGGTAGGTCTGGTGACCGCAAAATGGTCACTATTTTGCCCGTTCTCTCAGTGCAAGATAACGTTGACGTGTGGTGGTGTTTTCCTTTGCAGTGCAAGCGGAACTCCGAGTGCTGCAGCAGATGTTGCACTGCAGGGCTGTGTTCCAGTGTAGGTACGTACCGGAGCTCGCGACCTCTCAGCACACCCATTGTCCCAGTGATTCATGAACCGTCACCCAAACTCACAAACAACCATTAGCGTATTCATAAGACTTCCTTCACCCCGCTGTCCACCATTCCAGACCGACATTTCTTCAACATTAATTTCAACATCGCCTTCTCGTTTACGGCTAGGTCGTCCAAGACACTGCTGCCAGAATTCTGTACATATTTCTAATTACTCTTTAGTATGCTACGTGCCTTCCCAATCCCATCCATTTAAAAATGATAATTTTATTTTGGGAAGAATATAATTTTCTAAGCTCTTCACTGCCGGCGGGTTCAAGTCCCGATGAGATAGTTGGATTTTTTCAGTTGACCTAATTCTTTCAACCGCACTATGGTCCTGGGGTCGACTCAGCTTCTAACAGAAATGAGTACCAGGAATTAATTAAATAATTTTCCTGGTGAGTAAAACGCGGCCGGTGCGTAAGGCTGACAACCTCACCGCCATCTTTAAGCCGATTTTCTAGAAAATGTGGGACCATCAAAGTCTCACAACCCTATGAGCCCCCACGGCCTGTTACAGGGATAGCTTTACTTAACATCACCGCCATCTGTGAGCCGATTGTCTAGAAAATGTGGGAACCTCGACGTCTCACAACAGTATGGGTCTTCACGGCCTGTTACGGGGTTAGCTTTACTTAACCTCACCGCCATCTGTGAGCCGATTGTCTAGATAATGTGGGAGCCTCGACGTCTCACAACCCTATGAGCCCCCACGGCCTGTTACAGGGATTGCTTTACTTAACCTCACCGCCATCTGTGAGCCGATTGTCTAGAAAATGTGGGAACCTCAACGTCTCACAACAGTATGGGTCTTCACGGCCTGTTACAGGGATTGCTTTACTTAACCTCACCGCCATCTGTGAGCCGATTGTCTAGAAAATGTGGGAACCTCAACGTCTCACAACAGTATGGGTCTTCACGGCCTGTTACAGGGATTGCTTTACTTAACCTCACCGCCATCTGTGAGCCGATTGTCTAGATAATGTGGGAGCCTCGACGTCTCACAACCCTATGGCCTTCACGGCCTGTTACAGGGATAGAGTTACTTACTTTACTTCACTGCCGATCACGGTGGTAGCGCGGTGTATGGCATGAGCAGCCTTCGTTCGCTCGAACATTGCGGTCGTGGGTTCGAATCCCACACTAGGCATGGAATTGTATGCGTTTATTCTGTGTCTGTGATGTTCTGTGTGTAGGTATCGGACTTACGATGGCTGATCCCCAGTCCGAGGAGTCCTACCGTCTGTGTATAGGAATAAGAATCGGAAAAAGCGGTCAAGGTCCGAAGGGCTGTAGAGCCATTCGTAGAGAAAGAGAGAGAGAGATCTTCATGATGTAATTCTCTGTACCCTCAATAACTCTCTCCCTCTTAGGTGCAAATATTCTCAACACCCTCAACCCATATCCCTCAAGGTGAGAGACCAGAGAGATTACAAAAATATCTGCAACTGAAATGTGTTGTGAGTAACAGCGACAAAGGGAAGTCACGAACCGGGGACTTATGCTGAGATAGATGTGTCATGGCGCTGTCAACTCAAGTTCATTTTACTGTTATCAATCTCAACCTGAATGTTGTAGCGTATCCGCGCACGAAATGTTCCGTCGCAGTCTCCAGAGCACAAGTACAATCCGCTCCGAAATTACAGACAGGTTCCTGACCGGCTGTCAGCAAGTAAAAAACACGTGGGCCGCTCGGAGAATAAACCACAATGTACACACCTCGTTTGACAGAACAGATTAACTAACTAACTTCATGGAGCTGAACCCTTCTCGAGAATCCGCCAGTTGTCCAGTTACCCCAGAATTTCTCAACATTTTATGGAACCCGAAGGTTCTTTACCTTGTTGCCTGTTCCCTATTCTGATCCAGATCATTCCAGTCCATATCACCACCAGCTCTTACTCCATCCTACCTCTCTAAGACCCATTTTAATATTACCCACCCACCTATGTCTTGGTCTTCCTAGTTCAGTTTTCCTTAGCTTAGGTAGTTTATCCAAAAAACAGCCCAAGTCCGAGACCCTTTGTGACATTTCGTAACAAGGGTATTTTTACGGTGAGGAGTTGTTGGGTAAAACATAAAAGTACGCAACAATAGAAGAACCGTGTTTCCTGTGCGGTCCGTGCCGAGGGGCTGTAAGAGGGAGAAAGTTCAGTTGCAGGATATTCGCCGGACAGTAGGCACAGAATCTGAAGAATCGTTGTTAGAAGCCGTCACCAGGAAATGTCTAGTAAAGCCACTGTAGGATGGAAAAGACTTTCGTGTGCTGTAGTGATTTGTGTAGTGTGGAGATTAGTGATGGCGCTGTAATTACTTGTAGTTCCGAGACGCGAGTACAAGTGATCAATAAATCCATTTACCAACCCAAACTCAACCCATAGTCACACATAATACACGTAAGAACATGAAGAATAGGGCTAAGGTTCCCATTCCTGCACCCTTTACATGAACTTCTTATGGATTAAGGTGAAGCCAGGCCGCGCCATAGCTCAAGCGGTTAGTAGCTGGCTTCCCACCGCGGCGACCCGGATTCGATCCCGGGTCTGGTCAAGTGGGATGTGTGGTGGACAAAATGGTACTGGGGCAAGTTTTCTCCGAGTACTTCGGTTTCCCCTACCAATCTTCATTCCACCAAATTCTCCATCATCATAATCACCCTGGGCAGGCTACAATATTCCTATCAGTGGCCACCGTGCCGAGTGGACCCAGTTGGACTCCACCCCCCACTAATCGAATTAAAAAGAAAGTTGCAGCCAAATATGTTGGACATGGGAAAGTTCCATTTGGTCACGGGTACGTAATTACATCACCTGCTAGCACTAAACTTCCTTCCCCGGTAAAGCATTCCTTAAATGTTAGTGAATACAGAAGTTATGATAGCTGTGAAGATTTGATATAAACATACATTCCTTCAGACTAACATGCGCGACTGCCAGGTACCTCACTTTTATCATAACGTGACGTCATTTCATCGACTGAAAAAACGAAGTCACGTTGTGATAAAAGCGAGTTTTAATTTGTTCCTGTTCTACTCAATAGTACAAATGATAAAATGACGTCACGTTGTGATAACAGCGACGTGGTTAGAACTGACCCCATCTGACGGTATGTTTCTTGTCGGAATATGGGTGAATATGGGAAGTACGGCCACCTGGGATGTGACGCCGTGTAGATCGGTAGGTAACCGACGTTTTTCAGAAACCTACTGCCCTTGTCGAGAAAATAAACTGAGCCTGTTTTTTGCTGGGTACTTTCTATTTTTACTGCTAATGGGGTGGGACTAAGTCCCTTGTACTGCGGCCACTTCTGGCCTATTGTACCAGTCCCAGATGATAGGTGAGGGTGATTGTGGAGAATTTGGTGGAATGAAGATTGGCAGGGGAAACCGAAGTACTCGGAAAAAAACCCTGCCCCAGTGCCACTTTGTTCACCACAAATCCCACCTGACCAGACCCGGGATCGAACCCGGGAAGGCAGCGACTAATCGCTTGAGCTATGGCGCATTGCTCGGTTTTTTCTCAGTTCCTCCAAATTGTCAATAAATTTCAATCGGACTACACGGAGTCATATCCCACAAGACAGAAATCTGTAAACTATGTTTTGTTTCCTAAAATGTAGGCAGCTGTTTTCCCGCCTGTGACCCGAGCAGAGCTGCAACTGTCGAGGGACCGGCCTTGTGCAGACTAACGAAGTCTATTGACGAGCTGACCGATCTGTTGAAGATTATGATCAACAGCGACTTGGAGACAGGCATTCCAGTGCTGGCGAACATCATCAGAACTGTAAATGTATTCTTTAAGGACCCCATTTCAGGCATTGCCTTCATGCCTGACGTCATCGAGGGCGTGCATAAACTTGGGAACATGTTCAACACAACAATGGACGAAACCAGACTGATTATTAATGACGTCAGCGACATAATAGACACAAGTGTTCATTTGATGACCAAGCTGATCAACTCGCATTGATAACAGGTCTAGAGTATGTACCGGAAGAAAAGAGTTAATGTTTTCAAGATGATTAGTATCGAAACGTATTCCCAACTGTACACAGCAACATTTCTCCCACCTTCCGATCTCCGGGGTCCACCTCAACATCATGAGGACCCTATTACTTGCTACACTGTCACACTCTGACTCCAGAGTAAGGTTTCTGTACGGAGCTTTACGGCACGCAGTGTCATTTATTTGTCTGTATTAAAAAATGTGTTGCTCTGCTTAATTTAAGCAATACACCATAAAGACATATGGGTGAGTGGAGGTATAGCTCCACCATCCGTAGCCTCGGCACCGGATGGATGTAAGCAGCCGGGATAGCGCAGTCTGTACAGCGACTGGTTACGGACTTGACCGAGGGGTCTGAGTTCGAGTCTCCACGTCGTCCAGACTGGCTCTGGGGTCCGCCCAGCCTATCTACTGGGTACCGGGGGTTCTATCCCCGGGGTTAAAGCGGCCGGGCCGTGAAGATAATCACTTACCTCCAAGTAGTGCCGAGGTCAAGAAAATATAGATCCATACATTCACTCCCCCATACGCCTTCATGGAGTAAGCATAGGGGCATCTTTATTTACTAGACGGAGGTGAGCGTCAGCTTCACGCCCCTTCCGCTTTACCCCCAGGAACAGAGCCCTCGGTACCAACTGTATAGGAGCCTGGATGGGCCCCAGAATTGGTCTGGACGCTGTTGAGAAGAGAAAAATCATGCACTGCCGGGAGCCAAACCCGAACCGTCCAGCCTGTAGGTATGCCAACTCATCTATTTACACTTGAATACAAAATAAATTCTAAATGTCATTTTATGATCGAAAAAAAAAATCAGTTTGCAAGACTACAAGACTGAGTAACCGAAATGCTATGAGATGCCGGTTAAAAAGAAACCTGATTGGGGTGGGGGTGGGAGTCAGTATATGGTCATCCACAAAGCGTCCGTGGACCACAGGCTGTGGAAGACTGGGCTGAAATGGATATTTTTCGCAAAATGTACCTAAATTTGTTATGAATACGCGTGGTAGTGCTATACAGTGTTCGGATATGACTAGCTAATGAGCACAATTATATTCTGTACTGGAAACAATTTCATTTCCCTACCGAAATGACGCCGATGACATGTTGAGTGCGCCCTCCGTTTTGGAGTCATCAGTTTACGAAATCCTGTCTGTGATAACATCCGTTATACTGACCACAGAAATGACAGTCGAAGAACTGAAATAGGGAATTATATTTATCTGCATTCAAGACACGCTGGCGTGTGAGAAGGCTCTGTCATGCAATCAGAACGAATGATGTTTAAACGAGATTAACTTTCACTGACTAGTATAACGTCATATTTCCAATTATCGTTGATAAATAAAAGGTAACAAGCACTTGTACAAAAAACACTAAAAAGTAATTCGATGTTTTGACTCAGAATTCAAAACACACAGAGAGTTGTGTACCCCCTTTGCAAAAACCAATAAGTCACACCCTCCGCAACTGCGCATGCTCCCACTTGCCTACGCAACACAGTATGAAGAACAGTCAGTAGAGTTTTGTTGAAAACTGTGCCAATATACAAACATCACCGTAGTAACCGTGGTGGCCAGAGTTACTGAGCGTAGCTTACGGTTGGCCGAGCACCGTAACCATTTGTAACCACACAACGACCTAAAATTTTATATTAATTTCAGTAGTTGCAGAAAGTAGAATGGGCCAGCTCAGTCGGTATAGCGGCTGGCTGGACGACCGAGTGGTCGGAGTTTGAATCCCAGTAGGGTCAAAAATTATATATTTTCCACATCGTTCAGACCGGCTCTAGGATCCATCCAATGGGCACAAGGGGTTCTTTCTCCGGGAATAGAGCGAACGGGGCGTGAAGCTGACCACCTCTAACGAGTGTCGAGGTGAAGAAAACGCGAAATCTATAGATCCATCCACCCATACGCCTTCATAATGTAGTGATTAATTAAGCACAGGGATAACTTTACCTTTAATAAAAAGTGGAATACTTATGTACCGTATGTTTGCACTGAATTCTCACTCTTATTGACACGCACTGTAAAACTTAAAGCAATGATAATAAATATGAACACGCACAATGCACGCATACTGCTTACTTGCCCCCTGCAAAACTAAACTGGACATTGTCCCGCTGTTTACACTGATATCAACCTGTTTCCCTTCAAAACTTCTAAACCCAAGTAAACCTATAGATATTATTGTCACTTGTTAGTGACATGGCACGGGATTTTGACTTGTAATTGGATTTACTAAAAACTTAGTACTCGTAACTACAGATAACTTATAACACTACCGATAATCGGCACACTTAACTAACCACTGCTGTATGTTCCCAGTTTTCCAATCTGCTGTGTCTTCACGTGCTCGTTCCTTAGTAGCGGCTCCCAACAACGACGTATGCTGGCTCCAGATTGAATCATTAGCCACCACAACCTACTTGCTTGTCTGGTAATATGTTGCTGGTCTTGGCCAGCACGGTCATTTTTGGTTTCGTGCCCCATGAACATACTTTTCCCTGCCTCGATAAGCGTTCAGTTTGCCGTTGCCTAGCAGCGGACGGTTTTCCTTATTAAATAATTCCGTCATTACTGTGCGCTGGAGTTCTCACGGCGGTAATTGAGAGGATCAGCGTCTTGTGGGCCGTGACGCTGTGCTGAATAATTCATGTTTACCGACGTACTGCTTCAGGCTTCTGGATAACCCTGAAGCCTGAAAAACTAGAAGAAAGTTTATCCGAAACGTCAGTGAACATCGGACAGATTAAACGACGTTACATCCCAGAACACATCAATCCTTATGAAGCATTAGGCTCAGTTACCTGTTTCTAATCTACCCAGGTTCAAATTCCCTCTCCGGGGTTCCTTCTGGCCTGCGCGTCTCCAAACGGTTTGCATTCCAGTAGCCTGTACGAGTTGCGACGGACTGCTTGGAGCGCTTCTTTCTTCTCCTGTGCCTCTACTTAGCTGATTATCTCATACAGACATCAGGAAACTTGGCGCCCTCGCTAATCGGGTTACAGTTAATCCGGACTGGAATATGAAAAATGCTGTGTAAAATTTGAGGTTTTCACTGCGGTTACTATGAAGAATGCCGTGTAGATCTTGTGTCAACCGAACATATCGCCTCCATCTTCAGGGTAGGGTAGGTAACCTGAAGATGGAGGCGATACATCCCTCCGAAAAGTAGGTTCATGCAAGATCTATACGGCGCCACATCCCACAAAACGGTATTCTTCATTAAAATGCTGTTCACAATTAAGTAAGTACTTTAAAAGACAATGGCATTTAGGAAGGCAGGTGAATCGCTTGTCTGTACAGACAAAACTTGACGGTTTCTATCAAACCTGCAGTATTACGTTTAAAATATGTACAACTTCTGAGTCTTCTATCGACGAATAAATTTATTTTATATTTATGTTTTTTAAACAAAGGCTCTAAAGTGGTATTTTTTTTTCATTTATTTTCATCAGCACTACTTAACCAACTTTTGGAGCTGAGCCCTTCTTCAGAAGCCGCCAATTGTGCAGCTATTTAAGAACTTCCCAGCATTTTATAGAACCCAAGGTTCATTACCACGTTCACAAGAGTATTCCACTAGTCCCCTATTGCTCAAAGATCCCTTTTAATATTGTACATCCACCTATTTCTTGGTCTTCCTCGTGGTCTCTTTCCTTCTGGCTATATTTCTTCCGCCAATGCCCCGAGCTAACCTGCCCTCTACAGACTTCTTACATTCCGTGTCTCAAATCTCATGCCCATTTTCTTTGGCTTAGGTCGTTTATTCAAAGAATCCGTCCAGGTCCGAGGCCCTCTTTACGGCGAGGAATTGTTAGCCCCACGACCACCCCTTGTCGGCTGTCCGCCACTGCATATTCAATATATTTACATCAACCCCCCATATTCGGAGACCATCTCCTTCATACACTACCTGAGGTGGTGACAAGGGACCCATTTAATAAGAATCAACAATACATCATTAACTTTCCTCTTAGGGCTGCACTTTGCTTCCCTAATCCATATGAACTCTCCATCTCCTCCTACTTACTCCGGATTATTGAGGGTTTACTGTAACGATTAAAGAATCTTGTCCGAAACTTTCCTTTCCTCCGTGTCCTTTAGTCCACAAGCGAACTATAACGACCGAGCCACCGCCGCTTGTCGGCGAAGTTAGTGCTAACTTTTGCGGATAGAGGGTGCCGCGTGGTCAGCGCAACAGATCCCCACAGCCGTTAATCTCGGTTTTCTAGACCGCGAAATTACGCCTATTAGGTTCGGCATTCATGTCTGTCCGTCCGCATGTAAACAACTCGAGAACCAGTGGGACGAAATTTTCATGAAATGTGATTTTGGGGAGAATCAAGAAATTTCCAGAATTTTTGTTTATCGAGACAGCCGCTGACGGCTACAGAGCGAGGCACGGATCCTACAATGTCTTTCATCTGTTAAGCTGTGTTCCGTGGCCGGCCGCGGAGAAAAAAACAGCAGTTTTTGCACCATTACAACGCATATTGCAGACACCACTCAGCCACCACATTGTCCACACTTCGCTCCACGCCACTCCCGGCTCTTCCACGCACTCAAAGGTCATCTTTCTGTGTCCGTGAAGGGCATTCAACAGAACGCAACAGCCAGAACCTCGAGGGTCGCCCCCAGCAACGGCAGGACTGTGTGTGTGCAGAACGGAGGTATTAAGAGGGTGACTAGTTCAGATGCTAACAAAACACCCTCTATCATAAAAATTTATGCCTGAATTATGATAAATTTTTGTTCCTCCTACGTGTATGTGCCGCATCTGAAGCGTGACTCGCCAAAATGCCTATCGGAGCGAGAAATGTTTCGAGTGAAAGTGTAGGGGAAAATGAAACATAACATCCACTTTCCCTGTAAATCTTCAACTTTTCGATATGCTTAAACACTCCGTTAAGGCCGTGAGCACTGGATTTGCCAGCGCATCAACAGGTGGCATTCATGGGGTGACCGTCCGCAGACAAGTAACAGACTGAGACCACCACACTGTTTTTTTTTCCATGGCACTACAGCCCCATTGGGCCTAGGCCTACCTCCATGAACTTCTCCGGTCACTTCGGTTTTTCTAGATCTTACACATTCGGTAGGACTCCTTGGGCGGGTGATCAGCTCGTCGCCAGGCCTCTACCTGTACACAAACACAGAAAACCGCACACACACAAACTAAACATCCATACCCTGAGTGGGATTCGAACCCACGATCCCA